GAGTTACAAGAAGTACAGTTGAAATTAAATCACCTAACAAAATTGAACAAAGTCAACAGAAATCTTCTTATCTCCTCTCACCATGAATCTTCATTTAAGTGCACATCTATTTTTTTGTTTTCACCTTTGTCTTCTGTTGGTTTTCATTGCTATGTATTTTCTATCTTCTTCTATAACTATTTCTTAAAAGCAACAACACAATTGTTGTTGCCATCTAGTGGACTCACAAATGAATGCATGTGTGCATGTTATAAAAATTAGGCTGTACACAGTTTATCTCACAAACAAAACAGTTGCCTTACTTTTTTCACTCTCAGATCAACTGAGTCAAGAAGTACACATTAAAAATCAGAGTTGATATCTAGTTTACTCATACACTAAGGGGGATGTTTACACAACACCATTTTCAGTTAAAAAACGAAATTTTTTTGTGTTTTGGCCGTTGATTTACATGACAACAACGTTTTGGGGGTCTGAAAATGCAAGCTTTTGAAAACGGGTTTCAAAGTGCAAGATACCATTATTGAACGAAAATGCGAATTTGTGAAAACGGTGACGTTGTGCGCATGCGTATTATGTGTTCGCATAGTTTCTTTACAAAGTGGCATCACCAACTACTGGCCTGGCATGCACAATTAATACAAATACACGATTCGTGTGAACGGAGATCGTTTTGACAACACTGTCGTCTGTACGCAAAAAATGCATAGGGAAAGCTTTTTCTTTTTTTGCACATTGTTGTCATATAAACGTACCTTGGCATTATAGGATACAGTATTCTTGCAATGGTTGGTTCAGGGTTTTTTCTGTGCATACAGAAAATGTATACTGAGAACAGTATACTGTACATACTGCAAAAACAGTAGTATGGTAGCATGCTATTATGAACACAGCACGATTTTGCTTAGCAGTGAAGCTGTTAACTAAAATATGTAAACACAGGAATGAAAATTGCTTTGGTCAAACCATTTTATGAGGTCTTTAAATATGATCAAGCAGAATACATGCCTTAACACTCCATAACTTGATACTGACCCTCATTTTAAGCTTTTATGTTAAACGTAACAAGATTTAGCTACTGCATTCGGTCTAGTAAACTGGATTTTAGTAGTATGTATGCATTATATGATGCTTATATTGCTATGCTCCTTCTTGTGGTAGGTCTGTACTTAAAAAACAAAAATAAATGTTTTGAGAATTTTCTTTTGCTAATCTGTCAAAATTCCTCTTTCTCCCAAAGCAATCCTCTCTCTACTCCTCGCTTTGCACTCACATGCTGCTCTCTTTTTCATTACTGCAATGAAAACATGTTTCTGTCATCTAATATGGCCAAACTCGGAGCATGTGTAATGTGTGTGTACTCATAATAACTTACAAGATTGATGCGCGTAACTCCCCTGTAAATCTGCACAAGATCCCTGAAACGCAAGCTTATTTAGCATGTTTGCTAATTCATGACCTGCACATTTAGTGCCTCATGAGTCTTCTTCAGCTAGAGGTAGAAAATTTTACATGTTCTCAAGAATAGTTGCTAATGTGTTCTAAGTATTTTGTATGCAGCTGCTAGGTTGTTGTGAGTAGCTGCTACGTAGTTGTTGGTTGCCAAGGTATTATGGTTGTGAGTGGTTTTTAGTATATGGATGCTAGGGTATTGTGGGTAGCAGCCAATGCATTGCTATGCGATTGCTAAGGCATTCTGATTGATTTTAAATACATTTCTATGCAGCTGTTAAGCTCTTTTGGGTGGTTGCTACTAGGTGGTTATTTACCAGACCTATGTGATATTCTCTATGATATTCTAAAGTATGGCTCATTGGAATACAAATCTACAATATTTGTCCACCTGTTGTATCATCTGACAGGCAAAAACCATTAGGCAGAACATCTCTTCTCAAACATCAGGACAATTTGAAGTATAATTCATGTTTGTAGTATTTACATTATTGTAATATTTACATTTAAGGGTCCCAAACCCCAAGTATGAGCAATAGTTATAGTGATCTTTGCCTTAGTAAGCACCACATAAAATTCCCATCAGCCCTGCTTTGTGGATGTGTTGGTACTGGGTAATAATATTTTAAACAGCAGAATAAAGGTGGCGATTTTTCACAAGAAAGCTTCAAGTCAACATTATTTAATTCATGTTCTGAGTGCTGTCATCCGTGGCTTTGTTCCAGTATGGATTGATGGGGTGATGTGTTTGTGTGTGGGTGTGTATGAGCTCTGTGTGGTTCACACTGAGGGGGGCAGAGTTCATTTACAGCTGAGACCCCCTGAGACCTATTTCGTGAACGTTATTTAAGAGTGAAGTCTATGACTCAGGCGCTATTCACCAGAGATTCAGTTCCAGATAACAGCAGAATCATAAACCATGAGAAACAAAAGGCAAAACGAAAATTGTGCAATCAAGGAGCTCACAAATCACTCTTAATATACAACATACGGTAGAGTTCACATAAATGCACATAGAAATGCTTTCGAATTTCTCATGTTAGAGAGTCTTTGGAGGAAGACTCTGGCATTCAAGCGATGGCCTGACCCTGACTAAGCTACATACCAAGCTGGTTCTTGTCTGTAATGTATGGATATTAGGTCTGTTTCTTGTTATGAATAAGTTCTATGCAATGTGCAATGTGATAAATCTTATTAAATTCTGTTCATGCGTATGATATTGATGGTTGCAGTCTATTTGTGCACAGACCATCAAGGTTGAACTCCAATCTGGGTCATGGAAATAGGCAGCTTACATACAGGCATGTTAATGAGTGTCATTAAAAACTCATTTCTATTTCAAACATTTATGAGAGAAGATGCTGAGGGACTTCAAAAGATGCTGAGGCTCGAGTTTCATATGGGTTGTCCCACATGAGGTGGTATTTCATGGTTAAGCATCTAGACTAATGATCTTAAAGATATTTTACCCAAAAATGAAAACTCTGTTATCATTTGTTCAACCACATGTCGTTTCTTCTGAGCAACACAAAACATGATATTTTGAAAAATGTCTGTTTTTTTAATCCATACAATGAGTCAATGGGGTCAACTACTGTTTGGACTTTCTGGATTCACAGAGGAAAGTCATAAAGGTTTGGCTATCGTTGGCTAATGTTTTTGTGTTACAGATTATTATAAAAAATAACTGCTAAAATACCTGGTTTTCACTGAATTACCTGTAAAACTAGAAGATTTAATATCAAATTACATAAGTTATGTCCTGTTCCGTCTTACAAAATCCATCCCACCAAAATGACCTAGACTGTGAACCTTCCCCCCTTCAATGCCATCATTACCCCATGCTTTTCTTGATCCACAACTTTGTGTGCTCTGGACTAGCTATCTATTCCCTTTGGCGTGAAATCCCATGAGTCCCCTGTACAAATGATCGATGACAATCAGATGGTTTCCAGGAAGATTCACACACTTGACTGCTTAGTGTTATCGGTAAGTGTTAAAGTATACGCCATGTTCAATTATCCCACATGGCTGCAAAAATTCAAGCCAAATTTATGTGCGTTTTTGGAATGACAGCAATCATACTCTGAATCACGGTTCAAGCCAGTCAATCCACAATACCTCCTCTCTACACCCTTCTGTTTTTCTTCCTCCTGCCAAAAAACAAATGGAAAAAAGTTTTAGTATGGCAGTTTCTCATGCTAGACATGATCCTTGTGTAAATATTTTGATTGGCCAGCTCTCAGAAGTCTTACTGCGCATCCCACTGAGAATGATGTGTGTGTGTATATAAATAAATAAATGCATATTCACTGTGGGCAGAGAACTAGAGATGTCATTTGCAAATAAGTAGATTATTATGCTTATCATAGAAATGTACAGTATGATTTAAGTTTGTCAGTCTTAAATGAGGAGTTCACCCAAAATGAAACATTGACATTATTTACTCACCAGCATGTTGCTCCAAACTCATATGACTTATACGGGTTTGACGCGAGGGTGAGTATGATTACAGAATTTTCTTTTTTGGTTAAATTATCCCTTTAACTGTTTGTGTACATTTAATTGAAATGGTGTTATAATCTATTGTTATGCATCTCTGTGATCTGTTAACATGTAAACCCAAACATTTACAAGATTCCCTCTTCTACTCTGGACGCACACATTGTGTCTGGTGTTTATGTCCTCAAGGATGTATTGAATTCCTCTGTTTTCATTGCATCTGGATGCCCACAGCTACATTTGGAGAATTATTATTATTTTTTTTTTGCATGGTTTGGGGAAAAACAATCCAAAACACAGATGGACTGGGTTAATTACAACATTGTGCTGTTTATGGTTAACCCTTAGTGCCATTTGCTCGAAGGAGGTTCAACATTTCAACACTTGTGTTTCATGGCATATTAACAACACTTGTTCAGAATTCTTTTGAATTACTTTTTGTGAAGCACACTGACAGCCTCTGCATTTTCTCAATCATGACACTATCATGTCCAAAAACATGATATTACTAGTAGCCTACCATGCCCAAAACTGCAACATTTGTGTGACAGAAATAAACAACATATAAAATCGTAAAACTTGTTGATGAGAGATGTGTTATCACTTTTCTAAGCGTTACACTTAGATTATTGCATGGCAGTTAACTTTGCTCAGATAACAGATAACTTTGCTCCACCAACTACAGCAAACAGCAGAATTTTCCGGTGCAACACTTACTAGAAGTGAAGATTTTGAACGAATTATTCAATGAATCACTTTTTTCGTTTCTGAATGAATCAGCGTTTTGAACGAATTCAACGACTTTATATCACTTGTCGCCACCTACTGGGCTATCGATGCTATCAGTCAAATTCGATGACTGGAGATAAATGTTTAATTAATATAAACTGTAACATATTGCATCAATCCTTCTTGTAATATATTAAAATACAAAGTCACTGGTATCTTGATATCTTCGTGTTGATTTGGAAACCGCTCTAATGAATTCAGTCAGATTCAAACAGTAACGAGTCTTTTTGAATGATTCAATGATTCAAAGTTCGCGAATCTATCGTCGTGTAACCCGCGAGGACAACTCGATGGAAATGCGTGTTTTGCCATTATTTCACGGTAAACGTCTTTTTAAAACTTAATACATTTCATTCAGACGGCAAACTCTGGTAAGATGTGACTTATTTTACCGTGCAGTTGTAGATTCAACAACGGCGGTTTGCCGCCTGTAAAAAAAGCGTCGCAGGAAACAATGACAAAAAAGCTCGTTATTGTGATATATTGAAGCATATGGAGATCATTTGAATATATATCGAGATTAACTGGAAATCTATATTTTTATCCAGCCCTAGAAAAAAATTAATAGACTTAAATTGAATGAGGGACCCATCTCATAGAATTGAGGTAAACAGCAACCACTCGGAACCCACTATAATTGTGGCTGCAACTTTTTTTTTTTTTTAGAGACAAGCACCCCTAATTAGGAAAAGGAACACGAGTTACTGTCCTGTAGAGGCTGATAACCACCTCTGCGTTTCCAATCAAGACATCTCTCTCTGTCTCTTTCCTGTCCTCTGTCTCTCCTCTTCACCCTGTCTTCCTCTCACTTTCTCCGTTCTGTCTCTCTTGTGTGCCACTGTCAACAAAAACGTTTCCTTGAGCCAAACAGGTGCAAAAGCCATAAGTGAATTTTACAGCCAACAGCAGTGAGGTAAAACAGCATTTGGACACTTAAGTCACATTTAAAGGGGTCATATGATGCTTTTTTAAAGATCATTATTTAGTGTATTTGGTGTAACAGAATATGTTGACATGCTTTAATGTTCAAAAAACACATTATTTTTCAAATACTGTACATTATTGTAGGTCCTCTATGCCCCGCCTCTCTCAAACGCTTCGTTTTCTACAAAGCCCCCTCCTTTATGCACAATCAGCTTGTAACACTCCAAAGAGAAAGGAAAACTTGAAATCGCATCATATGACCCCTTTAAAAACATTTACAAAGTGTCATCTGCACTCAAATTCAAATGATCTTTCTGTATTTTTTTCTTAATTTGAAACAAATGCCAGATAATCTATAACATGCATTAAGAAAATAGATAGGGTGAATTTTCATTTCGTCACAACTTTTAGTGTCTTTTTGGGGCCACTGTAGGTGTTTGGGGACTCTGCGTCTGAGGAATGTTCAAAAACTGTGTACAATAACAGAGGAGAGAGGAATTATGGGATGAGGAGAGATGGAACAGATACATGGACATTTGTCATTGAAGAGAATAGGGTGGCTGTCACTAAAGTTGTAGCCACTCAGCTGATAAATGAGAGACCGAGGGTTTGTGAAGAGGAGCTTCATGTTCTGCAGATGTGTGGGTAACACATGTGCAAATGTGACAGTGACAAAAATTGGTTCTGATCTTTTCTAGTTTTCTAAGATCCTAACATGTTCTGAGTGCCTTTTAACGCATTGTTTTGGTGTTGTGATTGGTTGTAGGCTATGACTCAAACTAAAAGTGAATTTCTAACTATTTTTCTTGTGTTTGTGTGTGTTGTAGGTGGAGGCGAGATGTCAGTAAAGCTGAAGTTTGATTGTCCGGCTGACGGCGGCATGGTGCAGCGGAGCCGCTCCTTCACTGGAGTAAACACACTCGGTGGCCGGAGAAGGTAAGCAGTTATGGTTTGTGTTTGAGAGAAGATGACGTGTTTCCATGTGCGTCAAACTGCATTACTTGCACTTTTATTAAGATAAATGTCCTCAAAGCAGGGGTCATGGAATCCCATGGAAAGCATGACTCTTGTTCGCTAGAGTTTATGCCATGAGGACATCTCGGGGAGGTCTTGTTTCAAAATTGAGCACAAAACAAAACATTTAGGAGGAGTCCTGATCATTAAAAAAGCCATTCATGGCGCTATTGTTAACGAAAAGTAAAACTAGAAACTATACAAATAGTTTTTCAATAATTGAAATAAATTAGAATATAATTTTTTAGAAAAGTAGTTTCTCTTTAAAAAAAACTGTAAAGCTAAAACTATTTTTCTAAAATATAAACAGTATTTAAATTACTAGAACTAAATCAGAAATGTAAATAAATGTATATAGAAATATTCACAAAAAACATGAACTAATAAAACTGACAGAAGCACTATAATGAAAATATATAAAAATAAAAACTAATTTGATATATTAATAAATACTATCATAGTATATAAATAATACTAATAATATGATACTGGCAACAACATAAAAGCCCAGCAGGATAATTTCTACCTCTGGCATCTCACTACTTGTTCCAGATAAATTTCAAGTACTGTTTTATTGTTTTAGTGCATTCTGGGCATCTAAATTCATCATTTTGCCAATTGCCTTGACATTTTCCATAATTTATAGTATGTAGAACATTTTCAGACTTAGTAAAGTGAAACAAAAGGGATCCAAAACAGCATCATAAATATATTTCACTCAGTACTGAAAAGTATGGATTAAGTTCAAACAGTGTTATCTAATTAAAAATGATCTATTTTATTTAATATGTATAGTTGAATTTCACTTTGTTAGCTTACAGCAAACTCTATTGATGTTCCAAATCAGTCAATTAGGAGGCATAGGATGTGGCCTTAGCAGGGAGCTCACTAGGTTTTGGAACGGAGCTTAGCTTATATCTGATGTGGTTTACGTTTTTTCTTTGATTGCTTATAGTTCTAATTCAGCATTCCACACAATCTGTACCGTAAACAAGCATCGGTTATTATGTAATGGCAGTAGTTATTTCAAGAACTAAAGGTCCTGAGAGGATGCACGGTTTGGATTCGAGTACAAGCATCATCTGAGCAGTGTGACAGCTTACATAAGTAAACACAGCTGCCTATGTGTGTGTGTGTGTGTGTTTGTGCACGCATGTGAGTTTTTTATTTTATTTGTCACAATAACACTACATTCCTGCATTCCTATCCAAGTAAAAGATTGAAACTAAATGATTGCAGACAAAGGCCAAAACAACTTCAGAGGCGGATCCGCCTGCTTTAAATTTGTAAAATTTTTTATTATATAGTGAAGGCTTCACAAAACTGCATTGTGAGAAAATGCTTTTTAAGCACTTAATCGCTTAGTAAACTGTACATTAATCATCACTGTCAGCTAGATCATGGATTTTCAGTTATAAAGAAACAGATTTCAACCACTATTATTACTTTTGTTGATTGGATAAGGTTAGTTCATCTCTACTATTGTCAACACTGCCAAATAATTATAAAACCTTTTTTTTTTTTTCAGGGTGAGGGCTGACTGACTTCTTTTATTTTATTTTATAATTTTTTTTTTTATCATTTTGAGGTTATCATACTGATATTTTCTAACCTACTCTATAACCTAAATTATAGTATAATTTAGAAAATGTCACTAATTTTAAGTAGGTCCTTTAAGTAACTAACAACATTTTATTTTAATTTTTTTGGAAAAAGCATGCATCAAAACAAAAACCTCTGAGATTAATTAATACCGCTGAACGTGTTTAATAGATTAATCCAAATACATGAACATTCTCTATTTTTTCCCAGTTTTGTAACCCATTTTGATTAAAGGAACACTCCACTATTTTTGAAAATAGGCTCATTTTCCAACTCCCCTAGAGTTAAACAGTTGAGTTTTACCGTTTGCAGTTGGGTGTAGTCAAATGAGCACTCTATGTCAACAATTTTATGTCTGTTTTCACTAAAAAATTCCAGATTACTCATCTTGAGACTGTACAACCTTGTTGGGTAGTGACTAATTCATTTAAGCAAAAAACATGAATTATGTTACAGTCAATTAAGTTGTTTTCCACTGGAAGTTGTTTTCAACTGGTAAATAATTTTACGTACTTTTACAATACTTATAATACACTGAAAGTATGTTAGGATGCCGTGGGCTGAGTATAGAAAATCAAGCTCTTTATTCTTGAGAAAAAGGGCGTCACATGTGACATTGTTCACTGAGGGACCTCGAGTTACAGCGGAGATGACAGTGATGGAGACAGGAAGGAATATACTGATGTGAGAGCCAGAGCTTGTGTTATTAGTGACCCCAGAGCAGCGCTGAGGAATGTCCCTAAGAGAACAGTTTATTTACATTTTGCAGAGTCATTGGGTTTGTTATGCTGTGTAAGCATACACTGTCAGAACATGGCCGAAATACGTAGATTATATTGTGGGTGTAACTAAAATGGGATATGAGGATTAAATTCAGAATATAAAAACATATGCTACTGTTGGAATTGCTAAAGCAAATGTTGGTTTTGGAAAGAGATTGATACTTCTGTTGACCAAAGTAGTATTTAATTTAACAAAAATACATTCAAAAACATTATTCATGTTCAAAATGATTATTATAGTTAACTGCAGTGCGATCTTCAGAAGCACTTTTTCAGCAGCCATTACTATAAGAAAACACTGTTTTAGGAAAGCATTCTAATGTGCTAATTTTGTAATAGAGAAGCTGTTCTTATTGTCCTGGCCAGCTGAAACCTGCTGTGTGCTATTTAATGAAGTGTGGAAATTGCAATGCATTGTCTTCCAATCATTGCATATACTTGAGAACTTCAGAAAAACTTCAGAAAAGGCCACAAAAAAAAAAAAACAGCTTACTCTATAAACTTATTATTTGTTTTTTTGAGAGATGAAGATTGTTCTTGGGTGTGCTGTCATTTTTGATTAATTTTCATAGTTGTTGGTAAGATTTTTAAATGTTTTTGAAAGTATTTTATGCTCAACAAAGTTGCCTTTAATTGAACAAAAATACAGTAAAAGCATTAATATTGTGAATTATTATTATTATTATTGAAATAACTGTTTGATAGTTGAATACATTTCAAATATAATTTATTTCTGTGATGCAAAGCTGAATTTTCAGCATCATTACTCCAGCCTTCAGTGTCTCATGATCCTTCAGAAATCATTTTTGATTTGATTCATGTTGATTTTTTGTTCAAGAAACAAAAGAACAACATTTATTTGAAATAGAAATATGCTATATATAGAAATATATATTTATTTAAAAATAGACATTTTGTAACATTGTATATATCTTTATTGTCATTTGAACTTTAATGTCATTGTCATTGAAAATGTCTTTTGATTGATTTAATGCATCCTTGTTTAACAAAAGTATTTGTCTTAAAAAAAAACTATTTAAGTCAAACGTTTACAATAGTTTATATATAACCCAATTTTATTTAATGATTCTCATTGAAAATGTCTTTTGATTGATTTAATGCATCCTTGTTTAACAAAAGTATTTGTCTTAAAAAAAACTATTTAAGTCAAACGTTTACAATAGTTTATATATAACCCAATTTTATTTAATGATTCAGTCTTTTTTCCATCTCATCCCACAGACTTTCCTCGGCTCGTAGCTCTCTCCGCACAAAAGTCGTAGCAGGGAAATCTCCCAGAATCCCCTCCTCGAGTCGGGTGGGCAGCAGCGTCTGGGGGCAACAGCCTGAGCAGGTGGACAGAATCTTCCAGGCTTTGAGGAAAGGGCTCAAGTATGTGCAGTCATTGCAGCAGAGAAATTAATGGACTCATGGACCACACACACTAGTCTTGTGAATGTTAATGACATCTCATTTCATATAGGGACTACTTGGAAAACCATCAAACAGAGCTGGACTTCCTGTCATCCCAGCAGAGAGACACAAAGAGGAACTCCAGACTGGTGAGACTTTTTACTAAGAATAGCTTTACACTCTAGTCTGAAGTCTTAATCCTTTTTATTTTACTTTATTTTATTTTTTACATTATTTGTTAATTTAATGTAAATATAAAATAATTAATACAAAAATGTATTCTTCATTCCTCAGGCTTTTTTCTATGACCTGGAAAAGGTAAGTTGTCAACGAATGCTGATATTCATTCATTTGAGTGTTGTTGTTGTTGTTGTTAGTATTTGTACCATATGTGACCCTGGTCCACAAAACCAGTCTTAAAGGAACATTCCACTATTTTTGAAAATAGGCTCATTTTCCAACTCCACTAGAGTTAAACAGTTGAGTTTTACTAAAAGTTGCATTTAAAGCCAAAGGTTACAAAATGTAATGCTGTTTTATATCCTGCTTGCCAACAAAAGGAGATACGAGCCTTAGAGAGATACATACGGCGCCTTGAGTTTCAAATTAGTAAGGTAACACAGCTTGAAAATACGTAAATTTGGTTATATATATGAACACTAGTCAGCTGTGCTAAGAATAAACCTGTATCATGTGAATGTGGATGTCAACAGGTTGAAGAGCTGTATGAGTCCTATTGTATCCAGTGGCGGCTCTGCCAAGGAGCTTTGAACATGAAGAGAGCTTTCTCTCTGTCCCCGTCTTCACGACAGTCTAGAGAGAGTCTACTGGAGCTGAACCGCAACCACAGACACAGCCTGGAGGTGAAGTCTCTTTTGGACACCATACACACACAACAAACAATAAGTAAGCCATTTGTGTGGTCGTTTTCCCAAAAAGCGTTAACACTGTGGCTCGATTGCTCTTTCAAACCATCCCGACCAGCCCAACACGACAATAATTTAGAACCACTTTTCCTTAGTCAATGCACTGATAAAAAGAACCTATTACGTAAATTCAAACATCTCTGTTTAACACTAATCTATACCTGCAGGATATGTGTGCAATGGAAGGAGAACTGGAAATCCTGCTGGGCGAGCTGCAAATCAAAATGAAAGGTACACAGACAGCACCTCTCATATGCAGGAGTCTCCTAAACATCCTATTCCAGCTCATTTTTTCTCTCCTTTTATGAGGCAGGGTTGATAGGATTTGCTCGACTCTGCCCTGGAGATCAGTATGAGGTAAGGAGGTTTAACCCAACGTCCTACTGTTGTTAAACTTCTGTTATTATTTACTCACCATCATGTTTCTCCAAACCTGTATATCATTCTGTGTAACACAAAGGGAGACATTTAGCACAATGTTCATGCTCAAGTGAATGAGGACGAACGTGGATGATCTTCCAAAATGTCAGGAAAAAAGCTCCATATATGACTGGAAGAAAGAAAGCCACATGGGCTTGAGGGTGAATAAAGGATGATGATCTATCCATTTAATACATAAAAGTAATAAAGATGTGAAGGCATTCCACCCCAAAACATCACTCTTAATCCAAGGTTCTCTGTTCTTTTTGCATGTGATAGACACAAATGTATGATGGCTCTTTTATGTGAAAATATTAGGCAGAAATGACATATTTCACCAGCTATTCAGATTACATTTTTAAGGCCAGGTTTCCAATGACTTCATGCACAGTGGAATGCGCTCTCAGGAGCCGTCAGCCGGCTCATGCACGAGACCACACATTCACATGCAGTCACCCCAAAAAGTATTTGGAAAATTAAGACAAAGAATATGAATTTCATTGCATTTGATATAAAAATATATGCAAACATTATGCTAGCTGTATTTTAGTTCTTAGTTAAAAACAGTTTTAACTGTTTTTATTACATTTAACCCAGAGCGATTTTTAGTGGTTGTATGAAGTTGATCACAATAACTGTAGACATGGTCATGCAACTATGGATGTTTCAAAACATTTTCAACAGGTTTTCTTGGTTTTGAACACCAAGTCTACTGCTTTTTATTTAAAATCTAACTTTTTTTTGCTGAATATTTTTCTTGTAAAGTGTGCTTTTGCTGTCTTTCTTTAACTCTTTCTCTGCCTTTAAAAAAACATTTTAAAACAAGTTGGCAGCCACTACGAGCATTTTTGATCATTTTCACGAAATTTTCATGGCCCCCAGAATATTTTTTGTATGAATATCTAAACATGCGATATATTAAAAGAAAGAACAGAGCCTCTGCTTTTATACAAAACGTGTTTTTATTATAGCTTCATGCATTATTTTTTTATCATCACTTGAATGTAGGCGAGTTTCATAAGAAAAGCAACATTTTGAACAAAACTGATTATTGTCAAATACTATCTCCGGACCAGATTCAGAACGATGATTGGGTAACGTTTGGCAGTTTTGATTTATATGCTGAATGACGATTGCATTATTTTACATATTTACATGCGATTGCTTGTTTCCGCTTCTTCTGCGTTTTGATCCAGACATTCAGTACTCTTTCAGAAAATGTGTAATAGCACCTCCTACCGTATAACAGTGAAAACATGGAAAGCCAGAAAATTTTGTTTTTTAAATGTAAACAAAATGTAAACAAAAATTTTTTGTTTACATTATATATGTATGTGTACTGTGTATATTTATTATGTACAGGTGCATCTCAATAAATTAGAATGTCGTGGAAAAGTTCATTTATTTCAGCAATGGAGGGGAAATAGTTCAAAATTAATGTAACTTGGTTTGATATTTTGTTATATAATGCAATAAAATTCAGTCGCTTAGGAAAAAATTACATTTTAAAATTAGTGCTGTCAAATGATTAATCGTGATGAATCGCATCCAAAATAAAAGTTTTTGTTTACATTATATATGTATGTGTACTGTGTATATTTATTATGTACAGGAGCATCTCAATAAATTAGAATGTCGTGGAAAAGTTCATTTATTTCAGTAATTCAACTCAAATTGTGAAACTCGTGTATTAAATAAATTCAATGCACACAGACTGAAGTAGTTTAAGTCTTTGGTTCTTTTAATTGTGATGATTTTGGCTCACATTTAACAAAAACCCACCAATTCACTATCTCAACAAATTAGAATACTTCATAAGAACTTCATACTTCAATAAAAAAAACATTTTTAGTGAATAGTTGGCCTTCTGGAAAGTATGTTCATTTACTGTACATGTACTCAATACATGGTAGGGGCTCCTTTTGCTTTAATTACTGCCTCAACTCGGCGTGGCATGGAGGTGATCAGTTTCTGGTACTGCTGAGGTGGTCTGGAAGCCCAGGTTTCTTTGACAGTAGCCTTCAGCTCATCTATGAAGCTTTTGGACCAGTGGAATAACGCTTATGAAAGGTTTGATTGTCTGAAATTGATTCCATCCCTGAAAATATAGACATCGAGCCAAACTACTACAGATGATTATGAATCCTCTTTGTCCTTTTTTAAACCCCTGTCATTCAAAATCAGGTCTCAAATATAAAATTCCAAATTAGTTAAACTCGGTTACACACCCAGAACACCCTAGCAACCACCAAGAAAAAACCACCTACTGGAGCATAATGATGGAGTCAACTTTTTTTGTTAGTGCCAACAGTACAGTCCATCCTGAGATACTTTTGCGCCACCATACAAGATAAAGCAGAAGGTTGAACAAATCATTTCCCTCAAAAACTCTAGTCAAGCCAACAACATCTGCTGGATCTGAGGCTTTTCTGAAATGTCCTGCAGGTAACAGAGGTCAAGGGGTTGAGCTCTATCCTGGTCGGCATGGTAACGTGCAGGAGTGCAGATTTTTTCACAACGCGGCCGCAGATGATGGTTGTGGACATTACAGAGCTGGGAACCATCAAGCTACAGCTAGAGGTGGTTTGGAAGTAAGTTTACAAGACACACAAACTTATAAAGTGCTTAAAGTGCTGTGCAATATTTGAAAGTGATTGATGGGGCACTTTAAGACATTATTGACTTTATTTAATGTCAGTGACACTGAACTCAACCTTTACATACATCTTGTACACTTCTGTATAAAACTTTTGAGTTCAGATTTTTTTTTTTACAATTAGTACTATATCGAAAGGGTGAATTAAAATGATTAAAAGTAAATACTTTTACATTCATACAAACTATTTATTTTTCAAATAAATGTAGTCAATTTGAACTTTCTATTCATCAAAGAATCCTGAAAAAATGTGACAATGAAGCAGCATAACTGTTTTCAACATTGATGATAATAAGACATGTTTCTTGCACATCAAATCAGCTTATTAGAATGATTTCTGAAGAATCATGGAGTAATGATGCTGAAAATTCAGCTTTGCATCACAGAAATAAATTACGTTTTAAAATATAGTGCAATAGAAAGCTGTTATTTTAAAATGTAATAATATTTTACAATATTACTGATTTTTGCTGTATTTTTGATCAAATAAATGCAGCCTTGGTGAGCATAAAGAGACCTCTTTCAAAAGCATCTTTAAAAAATCACATTTGTGACCGTGGAGCAGAAAACCAGTCTTAAGTCGCTGGGGTATATTTGTAGCAATAGCCAAAAATACATTGTATGGGTCAAAATGATTGATTTTTCTTTTATGCCAAAAATCATTAGGATATTAAGTAAAGATCATGTTCCATGAAGATATTTTGTACATTTCCTACTGTAAATATATTAAAACTTAATTTTTGATTAGTAATATGCATTACTAAGAACTTCATTTGGACAACTTTAAAGGTGATTTTCTCAATATTTTTTATTTTTTTTGCACCCTCAGATTCCAGATTTTCAAATAGTTGTATCTTGACCAAATATTGTCCTATCCTAACAAACCATACATAAATGGAAAGCTTATTTATTCAGCTTTCATGTGATGTATAAATCTCAATTTCGAAAAATTGACCCTTATGACTGGTTTTGTGGTCCTGGGTCACATTTGTAAGAACCGCAAATGAGAAAGGCCTTCCTAGGGCTTTTATTTTCAGCAAATAACAACTTCAGTAAGGCTTCTGAAAAATTGGATTGTAGTACAAAAGTGAGCTTGACAGCACCTAAAACAGTACAGAAAGATACTAGATGCAGTTACAGCGAGGATAGAGTTTGTAAGAAAAGCTCAGATGTCGTGACGGTTAGTTTAATGTTTTAACATCTGGATTTCACAAACATGAAAACAGTAAGAGTGCTATTCGCAGCATATTTTCACAATTTTCATGTAATTGAGTAGACAAGACACTGATCTCACACACAAACACACCCCCTGTAAGTGCAGCTCTGCTATCGGCTAACACACACCAGCTGTGGAAGACCAGCTGACTGCAGAGAGATGGATAAATAGTCCATCGCTGCCCCATCCCTCTCACACACCGATCCAATTACACTGCTCTTTACACAGTCCAGGTGGAAAAGATTTTTCAGAGCCTCTTTTTACAGCGTCACTAAATTAAACACATCTCACAGTCTGTTCAGCATCTCCACGCTCTGCTGTGACCGTGTGTGTGTGTTAGTTTTTGCCGTCACATCATTTCCTCTGGTTCTGCTTAGTCTCTGTTAGCAGTGTCTCTCTTCATCAAGCAGTGATGACAAACACACACTGCCACTGCACTCATCATGTGCAATCAGAACCTGAGTTAGTTTTACTTTCGAATATAGACAGCTGTATATATGATAGTGCTGTTTTGTCAGATCATTCTCCCATTTTTATTGGGAGAATTTGGGATGCTAATTTTATTTGGAGTAACAGGAAGCCAAGACTGAGAATTTCTTGACTATATCTGCCCTGTGAAAGGGGAGAGCTCCAACTACCAAATTTCTTTTGGTACTTAATATTAGGCTGCTCAGTTGAGGGCTGAATTGTTCTGGTTCTCTAGTGAAGCCGCTGTGCCGTGGTTACATGTTGAAAAGTTGGCTGCAAAAGACTTGACAGCTTTTTATTTTCAGCACCCCTTAAAGAACTAAAAAAAGGACAGACAATCCATTTGTAAAAAATACTATTGTAATCTGGTACGAAGCCCATAAATGTGACCCTGGAGCACAAAACCAGTCTTAAATCACTGGGGTATATTTGTAACAATAGCCAAAAATATATTGTATGGGTCAAAATTATCGATTTTTCTTTTATGCCAAAAATCATTAGGATATTAAGTAAAGATCATGTTCCATAAAGATATTTTGCAAATGTCCTACCGTAAATATATAAAAACTTCATTTTTGATTAGTAATATGCATTACTAAGAACTTCATTCGGACAACTTTAAAGGTGATTTTCTCAATATTTAGATTTTTTTTTGCACCCTCAGATTCCAGATTTTCAAATTGTTGTATCTCGGCCAAATATTGTCCTATCCTAACAAACCACACATCAATGGAAAGCTTTTAGATGATGCATACATCTCAATTTTGAAAAATTTACACTTAAGACTGGTTTTGTGGTCCAGGGTCACAAATATCTTGGAGACCTCCCAGTGCTTTCCTGCTTTTCTCCTATCTGGGGAAATCATCATTTCAGCCCAGCAAAAAAAGGATATGGGGTTCAAATTGTGGATGAATTAGGGCATGGTTAGATTGAAAGATTTGTATGAAGATAATGTATTAATGTCATTTGATAATCTTGTAATGAAATTTCACATACCTCAGAAACACGTTTTTAAGTATTTGCAACTCAGAAGTTTTATTTTTACACGTTTAAAGAATTCTTCACAACTCCCCCCAATGTCTATATTGGAAACACTCATATTGCAAGATTGCTGCATTAAAGGACGGATTACCCAGTCATATAACATACTAAGAGCAAATCATAAAGAAAGCTCTGATAATAAAAGACAAGCATGGATCCAAGATATTAATATGGATATGTCATTGGATGAATGGAATACAATTTGTTTAAATGCACAAAGACAAACTTTGAACACTTGTTTGAGACTCTTACAATATAATTGGGTAATGAGAGCTTATATAACCCTTGTAAGATTAAATCAATTTAACCCTAATATCCCTGATCTGTGTTTTAAACGCAATAAGCTTCAAGGTACATTTTTCCATTGTGTGTGGGAATGTGAGGAGGTGCAGAAGTTTTGGGTTGGGGTGACTCAATATGTTTCTCAATTTACTTACTCACCAATTCCTCTGTGTCCTGTATTGTGTGTATTGGGTATGTATGAAGACAATTGCTCTTTGCCCACTAAAGAAAGAAAGTTGGTGGATTTGTGTCTATTACAAGCAAGACGTTCTATTGCCCTGTGCTGGAAAAATACCAATTGCCCTTCCATTGGACTGTAGCTGAAAAACTTAATAACATGTTTGGCTCTCGAAAAGCTTACATATGTAATAAGAAAGAAACCCTCTGAATTTTTTTATATCTGGGAGGTGCTTTTGGACTTTGTTAAAAATGGAGATATTGAAGAAACTTTAGATGTGTGAAGTTATGGAATGTAAGAAGTGTGTTGTTGTTTTTTTTAACCTGTCTGGGGTAAGTTTTGGAGAATGGTGTTGCGTTTTTTGAAAAACTTTGTAAAACTCAATAAAGATGTGTTATACATAAATAAGAAAAAATAAATAAATAATTAAATTATATAAAAATAAATTAAATAAGTTTATGATGCTCATCAAAACTGCATTTATTGAATAAAAAAATACAGTAAACTAGTAATATAAAATATTACTGCCATTTAAAATTAGTGCTTGCTATTTGAATATGTTTTAAAATGTAATTTATTCCTGTGATGCAAAGCTGAATTTTCAGCATCATTACGCCAGTCTTCAGTATCACACAATCCTTCAGAAATCATTCTAATATGCTGATTTGCTGCTCAAAAAATATTTCATATTATAATCAATGTTAACGCTTAGGCTGCTTAATATTTTTGTGAAACGGTCATACATTTTTTTTTTTCAGGGTTCTTTGATTAATTGAAAAAACAGCATTTTTTGTAACATTGTAAACGTATTTACTGTCACGTTTAATCAATTTAATGCATCCTTGCTAATTCTTTGTTGAATAAAACTTTAATTTCTTAAAAAACTTTTTTGTTGTTTTTTTATCGCAAGTTTATAACCTAAAGAACATAACTTGAAAGTCACTTTGAGCATTGGGTGGTAGTATATTGTAGGGCAAAAGTAAGTATAGGAGACTCAGGGACACTCAGAATTATGCTCAGGGTTAGGAGTGGGATTATGGGTAAGGTTATGTTTAAGATTTAAGGGTGTTGTGTAGGGCTGTGGTTAAGGTGGGAGGTGATGTCACACCTACAATTGTGACAATATGTGGGCAACAACTAGCTAGATTGGTAGTTATCTCAAAACACAATAGATATTCATGTTTAAATCCAAACAACCATATATATTTAATCCTTAGACACTAGTCTTCTGCTTTATTCTGTTTACTGTCTGTGTCTTTTCATAAAGTTGCTATTTTGGACATGTAAGTGCACTATAGAGTCCATTTTTCTTCTCAATTTCTTGTTCCCTCACTTTTTCTTCCTTCAGTCCATTTGATAGCTGTGAGGTGAGACCTCTCACAGCGTCCGCCAGCCGACAGTCCATCCACAGCAGAAAGGGATCCGTATATAGCTGGACGCCTCCCAACACACCCAGTTTCACTGAGAAATACTTTCTAGTGAGTTTGTGACCTACGTCCACACACACTCCCAGCATGACCGCTCACAACGATTTAAAGATGAAGTGTGTAATTTCTGATGCTAAAATGCATTCTGCTATCCTGGGTTAATGTGCAGAGACAACTATAAGTGAAGCCGGGTGTGGGCTGTGAGATTTTATCGTTGCTTTAGGATCGTTACGTGACAGATTGTACGATGTGACCCCAGTGAGATCTTGGGTAAAAGCCGACACAGACTGTGACAAAAAATGATTGAGAAAATTTTTTCTGACATCCTTATTATGAGATGCAAATTTGAAATGGTGACACACAATCCCAAACAAGATTTGTGCTGATGGTTTTGAGTGTCTGGCGTCATTAGGCAAAAAGTAATGAACCACTTCACCTCATTGTTCTGTTGTCTTTTACCTGAGGAGCTGAAATGTCATTGCATGATGTCATCTGTCCTTTTATGCTGCAGTCTATGATGCGTCAGATACAGGATGCGGATGCCTCTTTCTCCATTGGCTCACGTGAATCGAGGGGCGTGTCTTTACTCAGCTACCTGGCTGACTCCACCCAGGCACTCAGTCCTCCTGCCTATGAGAAGACAAGCGACCCACCAACCAAACACCACCCTGTTCTAGACGCTAAATTACAGGATGACGATCTACTGAAGACGCCAACAGAAGACGTATGAAACTGATCTTTTTTATTTATTTATTTTTTTTAGATATATACAGTTTTATATTAAGTGGGATTTAATAATTATATAAAATATTATAAATATTAAAATGCATAATAATAATAATAATAAATTATATCATTTTAGTATATTATTTTGTTTTTATTACTGAAAGCAGAATCCACTTTTATAATAAAATTAAGTAATTATGTATTTTTTTATTATGTATTTGTTTTGAGTGAAATGGTAGTATATTCATATTTTATATTTTAAGAAACCATATGTTAGCATTTGTAATATTTTTCAAAAATATAAAATTGCAAAAATACTCATAAATTACTTCAAATTGCAGGCTTATATAATTTCTTTCCATTCATAACCCTAGGCTGAGGAGAGTGTGGAATGGCCATCAGAGACTGACACAGCTTCCCCCAGTCCTGCGGGCAGCAAGCGAGACTCCATATTCCTCTTCCACCGCTACAGCACGCCTGACATCCTCAAGCAAAATGGAGAGGCGACCCCCAGCACAGAGACGACGGCCCCGGATGAGGCCCCTGAAGAGGAGGCCTTGTTCAAGCAGGGAATTGAAGACAGACTCCTGGTGAAGGACAGCAAAGCGGGCAGAGCACAGAAGAGAGCTGTGGCTAAGAGAGTCAGTTCACTGCTAGACGATCTGAATACAGAGCTGGAGGAAATGAGCAACGCAGAGACATTAAAGAAGCTAGATCTGCAGATACGCCAGCTGAACGAGGTCTTGAAGGTGAGATGGGTGGATGGATGGATGCATCAATGGACTGGTAGACTCAATTAAAAGATTTATAAATGGATGCATAAAAGAAATGAACGATCACTGTTTGAAAGAGTTCAAGAACATGTCTGGGATGTTTTTCACCCTAGAATCTAAATAAAGAAACAATTTGTTAAAGGCTTGAAGGATTAGGCATATTTTAGGACAAGTGATATATTTTTTAATTGATTGTTCTGACAACTAAGCACATTTCTGCCCCATATTCTTATTACTTATTTAATGATATAAAAATAAGAAATATTTCTATATTTAATAGATATTAAATATAGAAATATTATCATAATTATTTATGTTTATATTTAATGTTTTGGTTAAAATGGACTTGAACATGTTTGCATGTAACGACGTTGCTCTGTTTTTCTCTATGCATTGTTGATAAGTGTTTGTTTACTGTTGTTTCATTGGCTTTGCTCTTCATTTTCATATTTCCTGATGTTAGAAGGACCTCGACCCTCCACAGATGCCCTCATCTCAGACACTAGCAGTAGAGGAAGAGGAAGTGCTGGGCAGTTTCGACTTCCTCACTGCAGATTGTAATGAAGATGAAATATCAAATATGGGCAGCATCAGACTTGGGTACACTGGGTAAGCCAACTTATTTTTTAGCTGGTGTGTCTGCGTGAATACCTCAAAGAAATGTCAAAAGAATCTAAACAAAATCAAGAAAATAAAAATAATGTGTGTGTATATATATATATATATATATATTCACACACACACTACCATTCAAAAGTTTGGGATCAGTAAGATTTTTTATATTTTTACCGAAATTTCTTGTGCTCATCAAGGCTGTATTTATTTGATCAAAAATACAGAAAGAAACCGTTATTTTGTGAAATAAATATGCAATTTAAAATAACAGTTTCTATTTTAATATATTTTAAAATGTCATTTATTCCTGTGATGCAAAGCAAAATTTTCTATATATATATATATATATATTACTTAATGTAAAACATACTTTAAAATGAAATAGCTAATTTTTCTCATTACAGAGCTGGGAATTAATGGTGGGAATGGTCCTAAAAATTGGCTTAATTTCCTCTATGGATATATAGAGATTTAGATTTGTTATAGAGATTCTATATTTGTTTGATTTTGTAAAATTTTCATTTTTACATGTTTTTATGAGGTTTAATAAAAAAAAAAACATTAGTAAAAAAGAAAGATGTCTGTATTTAGCTTTGATCTGATCATTTGTGCTGATTAAGTCATGCAAAGTCATATCTCTCTATGCCACAAAAGGCAAGTTGCTGCACTAACATGTTAAATGATGGCTTAAAGTGCCATCTTGTGGATGAAGTGGAGTAATGCATGAAATGTACATGCTCTCGTTTATTTGTCAGGACGAGGTCAGTTACCTCTCCATTATATTTTATTTAAGGTATTTAGCAATCTGATATTTAAACAATACATGATGTTTAATTGCTTTTGCATGGATATGATATTGCACAACTTTTTTACATATAAAAATATAAATGTATAACATGGTTAAAGTTTATAGCAAATATCAATTCAGGTTAAAGTGTAAGATTAAAAAAAAAAAAAATGGCATATATAAATCATTTTAAAAATATTGATAGTATTCTTTATTATGATAAATTAATTAAATGCAAATATCATTTCAGGTTAGAAGATTGTTTTTTAAATATATATATATACAGTGGGTACGGAAAGTATTCAGACCCCCTTAAATTTTTCACTCTTTGTTATATTGCAGCCATTTGCTAAAATCATTTAAGTTAATTTTTTTTCCTCATTAATGTACACACAGCACCCCATATTGACAGAAAAACACAGAATTGTTGACATCTTTGCAGATATTCTGTCAATATGGGGTGCTGTGTGTACATTAATGAGGAAAAAAAATTAACTTAAATGATTTTAGCAAATGGCTGCAATATAACAAAGAGTGAAAAATTTAAGGGGGTCTGAATACTTTCCGTACCCACTGTATATAGATATATATATACACACACACACACATACAGTATATATATGTAATCTTCAGAATACATATGTTTTATTTATTTTTTATTTTTTTTATTTTTTTCTCCACAGGATTGGTTCCTTTAACGAGAACACCCTGAAAAGCATGGGTCTGTTATCTCAGGATAAAACCTCTCCGTCCTCAGAAGACACGGGTGAAGGAGAGGTCAGACAGATGGGAGGCGCTGCAGTAAAGCCGTCACTCAGCACAGGGGTCTACAGTCTGGATCAAGCTCTTGAAACCCACCTCAGTGTCTGCACAGTGCTGCTGGGGGTGAGCAATCAGTCTAACCAAATCATCAGACAGTTAGCAACATATATTGTTACTTTACATTCTGTCTCCTTCCAGGCTCTGAAGTGTTCTGACTCCGATCTTGTGCACAAAGACGTGATGGAGGAGCTCTCGCGGCAAGTTGACGTGCTGGAAAAAATCGCCACTCTGTCGCAGAGGATGTTAGAGGAGATCTCAGTGTCAGAATGTAAGTATAGCAACATCACAGGCCTTGAATGAGTAAATAAACCACTAAGAAATCTCTCCTTAGATCCTAATCATTCAGATTTGTAGATTTCCTAAAAAACGCTAACTTTTCAAATGACAGAGTTTATGATTGATTATAACAGATTTTCTTTCCCATACCATTTAAGGGTAACACTAGAATATGCAATTATGTGCTGTGACTGTTACTTTATACTGTCGGCGGTCACAGGCTCTTTCCCGTGTCAGTGTGAAGCGCTCTAGATGCATTAGTCATGTGTGTGGATGTGTCTCAGTGTTGGCCAGAGCTCCTAAGGGGATTGAAGTATTTTGGAAGGAGTGCTGCAAGAGTGACTCGCCTTTCTGCTGCTCCACGGATGGGTTTCTCAGGACACTGCGCAAACAGTACATCCACAAAGTCAAAGCCAAACAGCCAGGCCAGGCTGATGCAGGTGGGACGCTCTGTTCTGTTCTAATGCTCCCTAAGAATTGAATCCACAAACTACTGAAATGATGTACTCAAGGCAGAATAAAATAAAAGAATATATTTTAGAATATGTTTTATTATATTCTTTTCTTCCTTGAGAATCTCAGGCACAAACTACTTAAATATTTATGTATTCATTTATGCAGGATATTTCTATTCTATTCTATTCAATATGTTCAGAATGTATTTCTCTATGAAATAGTAATTTATTGTCTTTCAAATAATTTAATAAGCGTTGTATAATAAAATAAATGTCTATTCTGTTTGCCTTTTAGAATTTAATATTTTTCAAACAACTCCATCAATCCATCAACTTGTAAATAAATATCTAACAATTTATTATTGTTATTATTATTATTATTATTATTACATATAGATATAATGGTATTATATTATATTATTTTTCTGAAAGATATTTCTATTCCATTCATTGTTGAATCACAAATAATATTTAATTGTCTTTGAAATAACCTAATAATCTTTGTGTAATAAAATAAATGTCTATTCTGTTTGTCCTGTAGAAGTTATTTAATTTTCAAGCCCATTAATTTGTTTTTATAATATATAAAATAATTGCATTTATGTTTATATTTTACTATATTATTATTTTTTAATTATACAATTTTTATTATATTATATTTTAAAGCTATTTCTATTCTGTTCATTGTTACTTAGAATTGATTTCTGTTTGAAATAATAATTGCCTTTGAAATAGTCTAATAAGCTTTGTATGAAATAAATATCTATTCTGTTCTTTCTTTAGAATTTAATATTTAATTTCCAAAAAGACAAATTTAGTAAATAAATATCTAATAATATTTTTGTATAAAATAAATGTATTATATTTTATTGTATTATTATGATTATTATGATTATTACTATTATATTCAGTGTTCCTTCAGAATTGGAACGACATGAGGGTGAGTAATTAATGACAGAAATTAAATTTTGGGGTGAACTAACCCTTTTAAACTAAATCCAATAATTTAAAAAGAATAAATCTATTCTATTTAGAAAATTTCTTTCTTACAGAAATAATCATACAGTTTGTATATAATATATCTTGTGTTATCTTTTCTATTTTATTGTTCTTTTAGAATTTCATTCTCACACTACTGAAATAATGGCAAATGTTTGTCTTCTCCTTCTGATTCCTGAGGAGTGTTTTCTTTTGTCCTGCAGTTTTCAGTCAGTTGCTGCATCAGGTGCAGTGCAGCTGTATGATGGCGTCTGTGACTCAGCGCACTACAGACCGAGTGACTGTGTTTCAGCTGTTAGTCTACCTCAACAGATGGAGTATCACTGACTTTGGGGAGCACATCTCTCTCCTCTCTAAAGAAGGTAACAGCACAGAGTGTTCGCAGACTCACTTTAGGATAGAAACGTCAGAGAAACTAGTCTGAAATACAGTAAATACAGATGCTTTTGTCCTTATCGGTTCACTGTGAGTTTACTGCTTTCAGCATCAATCAATCACCCTCGAGGATTCTTCCCAACAGATCTCATTAAGAGACTTCCCTCTGTGTTTCTCTCTCGGATCGGTTTGCTGCAGTGTATCTGATAGCCAGTCTGGAGAGTCCCAAGAGGAGGCGAGCTCTGAAAAAGCTGAAAGGCAAGCGCATCTCTGAGCTGCAGCCGACGGGACGCACCCTCCAGCTCCTGGCCAAGCTCCAGACAGACGCCAATCACAAGGTGGCTTCAGCGGCCACGTCCTGCCTCAGCAGGGCCTCGCGGTCCAAATCCTTCAGGGCAAAGGTAGAAAGGGCCCAACTTGCTATCAAACACAAATGCTTTTCATATTGAACAATTGAAGGGATAGTCCAACCAAAATTTTGTCATAATTTAAAGGCATGGTTCACCCAAAAATGGAAGTTTGATGAAAATTTACTTGCATGAGTAAACACTGACAAGTTTGTTTCTTCATCGGAACAAGTTTGGAGAAATTTGCTCACCAATGGATCCTCTGCAGTGAATGGGTGCCGTCAGAATGAGAGTGCAAACAGCTGATAAAAACATCACAATAATCCACAAGTAATCCACAGCACTCCAGTCCATCAGTTAATATCCAGTGAAGAGAAAAGTTGTGTCTTTGTAAGAAACAAATCCATCATTAAGACATTTCTTCTGGCAAAAATATGAGTCCATAATCCATAATAACGCTTCCGCTGGTGAAAAAGTCCATCCCCCGTTGTCTTATATCAAAATCTACCCACATATTTGTTTTGAACTGTTTTTGTTAAATGTGTTAAATATATAGTTCAGTCATGAAACTCTAGATGGCGCAGGCTGACAGGGTGTTAACGTAACTGATGATATTCAGAGAGTTAAACGACTTGGCACAAGCTGATTGGTTCATGCTGCATATGCAGCCAATGAGCTTACTGCCTTGCATTTATATGGCTGGCTAGCATTCACTAGAGATTCCTGAGCACTCGTTCAGAGTTTCTCTGAAACCCTCCACCTTCCCCAGCTCCACCTGTATAGATCTGCTACGGGCTTATTTTATATGCTATTTGTGCAGCAGCAGCATGTCTTAAATACTCACGGCACCGTATCGCCATATGCATTGGCAGTAGCAAGTTCCTGTACTTGCTTGCAGCAGCAGCAATAATATATAACTACAGCAATAACCAACAGCAGCAGCAATTCAGCAGCAGCGTAGCAGATCTGTTCCGCCAAGACCAAATACATTAACATTGTCATATCCATCACCATGCTAAAATGTTCCGAGAGTTGTCATGATTGAAATGTGTTTCTTACAAACACGCAGCTTTTCACTTCACAAGATGTTAATTGATGGACTGGAGTGTTGTGGATTATTGTGATGTTTTTATCAGCTGTTTGGACTCTCATTCTGACGGCACCCATTCACTGCAGAGGATCCACTGGTGAGCAAGTGATGGAATGCTTCATTTCACTAAATCTGATTAAGAAACAAACTCATCTACATTTTGATGGCCTATGATGAGTAAATTTATAACTTTCCTTTAATCAAAAGAAAATATTTTGAAGAATGTTGCTAACCAAGACGTTTTGATTCCCATTCCCATTTAAACACCAACTAGCTTCATTTTGTGAAAGGTTTTGTTTTTCACAAAAGTTATTTCTTCTTGTTGGCTAATGTAATCACAGTTGAGCATTTTTAAGTGTGGTTTAAGTGTGTGTGTGATGTAGTTGTGTGTGTGTGTTTTATAGGCAGTGGTTCACTACACAGATCTGCTGAGAAACAGCAACACACATGTGCGGCATGAGGCCTGTCTGGCTCTAAAATGTCTAAAGGTAAACCGTCAAGACAATAAATTGTTCAGTCAGAATGGATTTATATTGACCTTTTACTGCTGTTGATATTTATGATGCAATCAAAAGTGACAGTGAAGACATAATCTTGTAATCTTAGAAAATTCCTTTGAACTTTCTATTCACCGAAGAATCCTGAAAATGTTTTCAACATTGATAATAATCAGAAATGTTTCTTGAGCAGCATATCAGCATATTAGAATGATTTACTGAAAGATCATGTGATACTGTAGACTGAAGTAATGCTGCTGAAAATTCACCTTTGATCACAGGAATAAATTACATTTTAAAATAGATTCAGTAAGAAAAGAGTTATTTTAAATTGAAATAATATTTCACAATATTACCTTTTACTATATTTTTGGATCAAAGAAATGGTGAGCTAAGAGACTTCTTTCAAAAACAAATAAAAGTCTTACCAACTGTAAACTTTCGAACGGTAGTGTATATTTGTTCAACAGATCTAGATCAACACATTTTTTGAATGGTTTTGTTTTATGTTTCTGTGTTGATAATTTGAGATGATCGGTTGTGATCGAGAGGTTTTGTGGTTTCTCAGGGCTCAGAGAGCGCAGAGCAGGTGGCTGAACTGTGGCGCTCCACAGATGAAGACCTGAGGAACGCCGCACGGGAGACCGTACTTTCCTTCGGTACGTGACCCTGAAGCTGTAACTACTGCAACTGTGTCGTGCTGCTTTTGTCCCTATATAGGCCGTGTCTGACTCTGAATCCAACCTAGTCAGTCAATGATGGTGTCTTTGTATGAAGACATTGCAGAGTAGACCATCTCCAAAGCACAACATCTCATAATAATCTAGAACACATTCAAGTTTCAGAAATAGCAAAGACCTACAGTGCTTCTTTCTCAGTAAACATTTTGGAATAGTCTATTATAATCTGAATAAAAATCATAAGCATTGTATTTGGGTGTGCCTTGCATTCATACTATCAAAAGGTAGCATTTTTCAAGTAATTATAAAGTACAGAGGTGCAAAATGCTACCTCAGCTGATTTACATTGTTCTCTCTTAGGCAAGAAAGGTCACATGGCATTCCAGCGTATGGACCAGATCTATGAGCTACAGGACGAGGCTTACAAGAACCTGGAAACAGAAATCACAATCTTATAGGAAGACCACAAACCCAATCTGTTACCTGATTGGATGGTGCTGAGAGACTGTGAGGTTTTGATTGAACACATTTTATCTGTGTGTAAACATATTGCCAAGTATTTAATATGCAGTTTTATTATTTTATATTTTCTTTTAAATAATTTTAATTTTAAATGAAATATTTATGAATAAACTGTCTTCTCTATTTCTTATGTATCAAAATGAGTAAACATGAAATATACTGACAATAAATGTTATTTTGTTTGTGTTAATAAATCTTGTTCATTAAAAGCATTAAAGCAACCCAAAATTAAATCATAATATTAAATGATTCATTAACTCACAGCTCTAAACATCTACATCCTACAATTTGGATTGTCTACAAAAAAAAGAAAGTTCTGTAACACGTTACAGTAAGGTTTAATTTGTTAACATTAACTACATTAGTTAACAGGAACTAACAATGAAAAATACTTCTAAAGTATATATTAATCTTAATGTTTATTCAAGACTCACTAATGCATTTAAAGTTGCATGTGTTAATATTATTTAATTGACCTGAGGTAATGAACAGATGTATTTCTATTAACTAAAATTAACTAAGATTACTAAGTACTGTAACAAACATATAGCTCATTGTTAATACGTTAATATTAGGACCTTACTGTAAAATGTTACCAAATTGTCTTGAATATTCCCATGCAATCCATCGCATGTCCAGTTTTTCATCATGCTGCACCAGGATGCCTTGCAATATTTTACAAGTGAATATAATTATAAAAACACTTTATCAAGAATATATTTTATTTCCAGAATATTTTCATTTTTTTAAAGCCATGTGAGCACCAAAGATTTTCATGGCAAGAACAGAATAGTTTAAAATACACTGAAAAAAAAAAAAAAAAAAAGATTGTACGACGTAAAGAAAAACAAAGAGTATGTTTTACAAAATACTATTTCAGTCTTTCTGAGTAAAGACTAAATTGGTTAACGGTAAGTTCCTTTATTTGATTTAAAATACTGTTAAATTGAAATGGACAGTTGAAGTGAAAAATGAAAAGTAATTTTATAATTTAGAGTGAAAAATCATAAACATTCAATGAACTAATGTTTTTACTGTAAATTTAATGTCCATCTATACATCTATAAAATGTTAGTTATTTTTTAACCGTAAATTTCACTTTTTTAACAGTGTATGACAAAAATAAGTAAACTCTGAAAAACAAACTATATATTTCAATTTGAGATTTGTCAGAAATTTTTCAACTTGGCAAACCTGGTGATATGACTTTAAAAACATCTGTTAAAGAACATGATGAACAAAACGTTTGCCTAGTGAAAAAACACTACAGGTTGTTGTATTTGCTTAACCACCAATTCCCCCCAAAAATGCATGTTTATCTGCCACAGAATGGACCTGCTTGGAAAAAACAGTGGGCAAAAAAACACGATTGATCCACACAGCTGTTCTGAGGTTGTTTATAGCATCACACTGTCAAACAAAAGATGATATTTCACATGTACACACACAGCTGCTCGATGTTGATCATTAGAAACTTTATTGAATTAAAAGTGGAGACAGCATTTGAGCTAACTCAGCAGTGCAGAAGCACGCCTCCAGCTCAAGTTGCGTGACAAAATTCATCTGGCGTCTATCCGCTTAACACTTGGACTCATACCGATTATTGACACATGAACAGAAACCCAAAATCGCAATATACAAACACGCACACACATTATCATCTACCCCTTTGGAAAAATTCAGCATCCAGAAATGAAAGAATGTGCACCGAACACAATGAGAATGGAACCCATGCAAGCTTCAGATGCCCCTGCGCCGCGGCGAGGAGATTCGAGTCAGGGTTTGTTACGGGTTACAGCGGAGAGAGGTTGCCAACGTGGGTATAAAGAACCGAAACTTCCCAGCATTCCCAGTCCGGATGTGTCCGTGCGGAAACCCGAGTCTAGGTGCCCACAAGATGCCCCTGCGCCTCGGCGAGGAGATTCGAGTCAGGGTTTGTTACGGGTTACAGCGGAGAGAGGTTGCCAACGTGGGTATAAAGAACCGAAACTTCCCAGCATTCCCAGTCCGGATGTGTCCGTGCGGAAACCCGAGTCTAGGTGCCCACAATGCTGGGGTCGTGTGCGGAGTCCGGCAGTGGAGAATCGTGGCAGTGGTACAGAAAGCAGTTTCCCCAGCAGCTGTAGCAGATGAGAAACAACGCCGCCAGGAAGACTAAGGCACAAATGGTACACGGCTTCCTCTCCAACAGGAAGCTGAGCAGGTAGAAGCCCATGAACATGGAGTGGTTGAACCACAGGGCCGGATTTAAGGGTTTGGGGATCAGGAGGACCGGGAGTAACCACTGGAGGCAGTACATGGTCTCTGCGTGTTGGGCCGCCTCGTATGAGCTCAGATATCCGACGTGACGCTACACAATCACAAATCCCTTGTGTATCTGCGAGGGATTAGACGCGGTTTCCAAATACCAGGCGAGGCCTTTGGAAAAGGAGAGAGAAAGAGAAAACCATTTAATACGCACAATTCCTAGCTCGTCTTACACCCCCTTACAAGGCGCCGAGGTCAAAGCATGCGTGTATTTTCAGAAATTGGGCTATTTTTAGTTGCTGGCCTTGAGTTCTACATGACAACAGTCTAACTTCTATCTACAAGACATGACAGCACCATTATTTAAGTCATATTTGACTAGTTAAACCCCTGATTCAATTAATGTGTTATAAGAGGAAGATTTAATAGACATTAATCTAACTTTTAGGCTATTTTAATAACTCTGCATACATTTAAAATGTTTAGTGGTGCTAAAATATAAGAAAAATAGCAAAACATACAGATTTCTACTATCAAAATATATTTTTTTAAAGAAAATATTAAAGTAGTTGTATTTTAGACTGCGATTTCTTGCTGTTTACATCAATAATGGTTAATAAACTACAAATAAAGGTAAGAATTGGGTAATTAGTGCGATATTATAATTAATTACGGACAAGGCCAATATTTCAGCTTGTGTTTTGATTGTTTTTACACTTTGCACATCCCTAGACATTTTTAATTTATGCTGAAGAGTTCAAATCTAGCTTAAATATTCCTCGCTCATTAATCGTACGCTCAACATTAAAGCTGTTTTTAATAACTCTGCATACATTTAAAAGGTTTATGGGTGTGTGTATAATATAAAAAAGTAAAACATTTAAATATCTAGTAAAAAGTGTCGTATTTAAGAAAAATTATAGTTTCCCCATGTAGACTGACGCTCCGTACACGGTTTACACAAATGATCGAGAATAAACTACAAAAGACAAAGAAATTCGAAATTATTTTCACATTATAATTATTTAAGGACATCAAATCAAGGACAAGTGGTTTAAAATACTTCGCACGCCCCTGAACGTTTTAAATGTATGCTGAATTTCCCTATTTCGACTGACATTCCTTACATTGTTTACACGAACGACTGACAACAAACAACAAAAGAGATAGAAATCTAGCAGTTAGTGTGACTTTATACATAATTATGGGCATTCTATATTTCAGCTGGTGTTTTTAAATTGTGTCATCAATACAAAACAGATATAAACAATAAAAACATTGTGATGTTAGCGTGTTGGCTAACCGGATATCTAGCATGCGTTAGCATGTGGCTAGGTGTTAGCACGAAAATAAACCTTCCGAACACATGTGTGAAAATATATGATCGTGGCAGTCTCAAATAGGCGAGATTTAAAGCTTAAAAAGACTGAAATAATCATGCTCAGACCTACCATTCTTTAAATCCAATCCCGATCTCGCATATAAGCCGTCGCCATTGAGTTCTTTAGGTGATTGCGTAGATTTGTGGAACTCTAAGGACCCAACCGACGGCTGGTGTCCCACAGATGCCTGATTAAAAATCATATAGCTTACTGTTTATCGCTAAAGATGCAAATGATCAAAGATTGATTTTTAGTCTTACATTTATTTCATGCATGGTCTTTTACCAAAGTATTGTACTGGTATCAAGGTACTGATATCAGGTTGCATGGAATGAATGCATGTACCGTATTATTTACATGGTTTTCCAATTCCATTCATGTGTAAAATATAATTGCTATTTTACTGTGGCTCCATGTCCAAAAATACCACGGTACTTTATTGTACCAGTCTTGTCCACCATTTACTAAATACAAACTGAATAAAGGTTGTTTGTCATTAATGTAGGCTAGTTGTGCTTAATGTAACTGCAATATTGAAAGAAAAAAATGTGTATCTTTGGTAATAATAATGCATACTACTGTCTGAGATTTGCTGACATATGCCCACACATTGATGCCCTTGGTCCACCACCTGGTTTTTACTGCTTATAAAGCATCCATTTGTGCTTCCCACACCATTTAAACTGATGGGAACTAATTAGAAAAGCTTTAAGAAATGTAATGCTTGTATTTGTAAAAGAGATATACAAATGAAATATTATAATTTATCTACCCAGATAGCAGATTAAGAAACATATCTCCCTATGGCCTCTTGTCAAAACCAAAAAAATATCATCTTAGTAACATCAATGTGAAGGTAGAAGGGGAAAAATGCAGTGCAAATGTTATTTTTTGGAAAGATTAATGAACAAACAGCAGTCTTTTTGTCTGAACCAATTAATAAATAATGCACAGGTCATGTTTAAATTCAAGCACTAGATTTCAGTAGATTCTAATAATTCTCATTTATGATTATGTAATTACATATATTGCAACCCATAACAGAGCAAAAACACAAAGCCTTCCATAAGCCCTAACAGCATGTAAAATCAATTCCAACATTTTAATTTATAATATTTAATTAAATATAACCTACACCCACATCCCGACAGAGACGCCACCATACAGATCACTGAAGCTGATCTAGTGCATACTAAATGTGCACTTCATAACGAACCCAACCCATACATAAACAACGCAATGTGTGCATCGACAGCACGAGCTGTGTTGTTATTGACGATGAATAATCTGACATGTTGTTGCATTTGCGTTTAATTCTGAGAAATGATAGTGTTTCTATCGCGCATGGCTAAATCTCCCCTCGAGATCTCCGTGGAAAAGGTCTTCCTGTCCGCAGCATCCCAGCGTTACTATGATATCTGTGGAGCGATCGCGTCTGAAGGTAAGCTCGCGCTCTTATCAGTAGCATTAACGAACCGATAACAGGTGCGAGTCAATAAAAGCTAGATGGAGCGCTACGTTTGTATTTTAGTTACGCTGGTTGTTGAATATTTAAAGATAAACATTAAACGCTTGAGGTGTTACAAGGTCATGTCTGAAACTATAAACGCGCGCTAATGTGAGCTTACATGGATAAATAATAGCAGATACGTCGCCTAGTTATTATCGCTCTCGAGAAATGAGATTTTACGCGTAGCGTAGGGTGAAGTCAGGTAAAACGGGCCACTCTCTGGTAAATCATCGGAGGGGCATAAAAATGTCTCTGCACATCGTCCAGACCGCTGTTTGTATGTTATGGTCTCTTTTATCAGTATTCGTTACAAATATGTAATAGCCAAAGAGCTATTGAAATGTCAGAAATCCTCTTTGTCAACACTGTGTTCAGGTGAAACGGGACAGAGAATCTGCAAACCCATTATTTTGAACAATACTGTTTTAACAATTATTTATCCTTTAATTCATGGCATGGCATTGTTAAAATGTGTGTGGCATGAAGGCTGAGTTGAGAGAGGTTAGATTGAATGTGGGTTTAACATCTTTAAATTGTAAGTTTGAAGTTGAATTGACATGCATGTGCCAAATTGCTTATGGTGGTTTTGTTCTGAACGGCTTTTAGGGGGAACTGTCTATTTTAAAGAAATATATCGGGTTTACTAAAGGAATTTTAAACATCAGGCAATTGATTATTGGTAAATGTAATAATTTTCAACGTGCAATCCTATCGAGCTTCGTCTTGCAAATTGTTATTTGCAGTAATCCAAACGTAAATTTAGAATTTTATAAATTAGGTTAAGTGATGATAAATCTGTTTTACATAAGTGATCGATCGAATCTAACTTTATTATCATAATATAGAGGCTCGAAAGCTTTGTTTAATAGGCTACAGTATATTTGTTAGAAAAAATAAGTTCACACCGCCCCCTCTTTTTTTTTTTTTTTTTTTTTTTTTTTTTTTTTTTTGGTGGGTTTTGGGGTGGTTTGGGGAGGTGGGCTTGCAAATCGTCACTATTATTCATACAATATAAAAATGAGAATTTTTTCCCACTTATATATAGAAATCTTCAAGATTCAAGATTTTTTTTATTTATATACATCTTTTATGATACATTACTTTTGGATCTCCAGTAGTTTTTATATAAATTTAACCTTATAGGTGATCAATTTAGTTACTCACCTTAGCAAAATAGTTTGCAGTGATTGGATGTTGATTAAATTCAGTGTTATTATTTAATACATTAATGAAACCACTAGATCAATACCATTAAAGACCCAGCTTAGATCATTTTGCTGCTAATGGGACATTTGAATCCTTTAATGTAAACACTCATAAAATAGTTGTAAGACCATTCAAATGTCCTTGCCAAGTACTTATTGCAGAGACAATCCCCTGGAGCTACTTGGGCTTGTATTCCTCGCTCAAGGGCACAATGTATGCTGATCGCTGTTGGGTTGGCCTCTGCAGAATCTAACCTGTAACTTTTTGTTTTTATTTTATCACAGTGCCACACCTCCACCATCAACGACTACTTCTGTTGTTGCCACACAGGCATTTGGTTTTGATGTTAAAAATACCAATTTGGTAACTTTTGTCAGACATGGTCTGAAGATAACCTGACTGTGTTTTGGACACAGTGTGTAAGGTGATTTGTACTGAAACCACATTTAGCAGTTTTACAGTAGTACAGTTCTTTTGTCCACAGTGATATATAGGCCTACCCTAGTTTTTAGATAAAAAAAAAAAGGTGCTATCTATTGGAATGGACTCTGGAACTGAAAGAGATTTTGGATGCTTTCATGGTTCACAATGCAATATATGCTATATTCTTTTTTTTAAGGTGAAACAGGAGGCATTTGATTCAACATGAGTGCAAGCGTTGAGTGTCGATGGAGTCTCTGAACGCCGTGGAGCTCCGTGAACTGGGGGATGGGAGCAGGAGAGAACCTCCTCAGACCTCCTCAGGACCGCAGCCCACAGCCGGCATCGAAAACGCGTCGTTCGAGGATGAGGATCCGGGAACGAGGATCCGCGTTACCTCCAGAACATCTGGACCTGAGTTCACGTCCATCGACTCTCAGTCGAATCCGCTGCCTATTCAGAGAGAAGTGCCGTCACCGCGCTCCGAAGACGAACCTGAGCTCGAGTACAACGGTCATTCGGTGGACTACGGGTTCATTTTTGCACTCATTTTCCTCGTAAGCGGCATCATATTAGTGGTAATCGCCTACACGATCCCACGAGAGGCTAAAGTCAATCCGGACCAAGTGACAGCGCGGCAGATGGAGAAACTGGAGATGTACTACGCACAACTCGGTTCTCACCTCGACAAATGTATTATTGCGGGACTTGGTTTGCTCACTCTGGGAGGAATGCTTCTATCTATTTTATTAATGGTGTCTATATGCAAAGGGGAACTGTATCGCCGGAGGACTTTCGCTAGAAGACCCATGAAATCGTACGGATCCATTAATATGAGGATGAGGCAGTTAGCTGAGGGTGATGGGAGGGAGACGCTTGTGGAATGTGAACCGAACGCCATCGCCGACGCTGCGAACGGTAATCAGGTTCCTTCTGGAACGCTAAATACGTAGCACAACAGAATCACATTGAAAAACCTGTAGATTTGCAGTCGCAAAAGGAAATAGTGCTCGCAAGGCAGCTTAAAAAAAGGTTTTTGGATAAGTTTCAGTTTTTGGCTTTGATAATCTGTGAATGAAACACCTCATCAAAGCCACGGTTGCTGTTGCCATTTTTTTTTTTGGTCTGCTGTGTTGCCAGATCTCTTGGTCTAAAAAAAAAAGTGGCTGATAATCAACTTGCTTAAAAAAAAAA